TAGATATTTTTAGGCTCTCGCGGTGTAAATGAATGACCAATATTGTCGGTTCTTTATACACGGCGACTGAAAGTGCCAACGGTGTGGTAGCTTCGGCAGAAGTCTGAACTCGCCGTCTCGTCTGCGCAGTGATCGGTGCTGCGGGGTGCTTGTGCGTGCGTGCGTACGTGTGTGTGCGTGCGTTTCATCTCTCTGTGTCTGTTTTTTGTACGCGTGTGTGTGTATGTTTGTGTGCGTGCGCGTGCGCGCTCGTGAGTGTGTGTGTGCGCGCGCGCGCGCGCGCGCGCGCGTGTGTGTGTGTGTGTGTGTGTGTGTGTGCGCGCGCGTACCTGATGCGTATGTATCCATCATATAGTAAATTATTAAAAATGGTCTTTTATTGTTCACCTTTTCTCGCCTTGCAGTTTGATGGATACAGCAAAGAAAATGGTGGCGCAACCATTGCCTATCAAGTGCCTAGAAGCTGTTATTTTAGCAATGTATCCTTAAAATTTCCAATTGGCAAACTTATTATATATGATCTAGGCCGCACACGTTACGAACGGGTGGGATTAATATATAGCAAAACGTAGGTGGTGTCGTCTATCATGTCTAAAAATTGAATTATATGTTAGAGGGAATTTTTAATTTCCTTATCGATTATTAATCAGGTACCTAACTAACTCAATGACAGATGTCAAACGATTTCCTATCAGTTTTACATCAAAGGCAGCCGGCAGTTGTTTCTATCACGTTGTTCTAGCTATTTGCAGCAACGGGCTGTATGGTGCATTAGGATTAAGCAGAAAGGAGACACTGATGGATAAGCCGTTAGAATATCTGGTGATTTATTCAGTTAGAATTAGCAATTAGATATACATGTATGAATAAGTTACTTGAACGTTGCCGATTTGTGCTGGCGGTGTTTCACCTGGGAACAAACATGCGCCTTCTGCTGAGAATGGATTGCAGTGGAATATGTATAGCTGCTTCCCGTTACTGCCGTAGCGTCATTAGAGATTATTGGTGGATGGTGCGACCATAAGGTCACGGTTGTGGTATCAGGCTTGTTCTGGGGGTCGACTTGCAACAACCACTCAGAGCAATGTATAAGAGAAGACCACTTTCAGAGGTTGTGTTTGGAAAAGGGTTAGTCGGTATGACACCTATAAATTATCCAAAGGAAAATTAAAGTATACTAGTCCATCTCTCCTTAACGCCCCTTCCTCTCTCCCTCCCTTCCCTTTCTTCCTCCCTCCTGCCTCTTCAACAAAAATTAGGATTTAACGAATCTATCTATTTATATATCAATCTATCTGTCTATCTGTCTATCTATCTATCTATCAATCTATCCATCAAGGCCCTACCTATCTACCTCTCTATCTATCTATCTATCTATCTATCTATCTATCTATCTATCTATCTATCTATCTATCTATCTATCTATCTATCTATCTATCTATCTATCTATCTAAATATCTACCTATCTATCTTTCTTTCTTTCTATCTATCTATCTATCTATCTATCTACCTGCCTGTCTGTCTGTCTGTGTGTCTGTCTGTCTGTCTGTCTGTCTGTCTGTCTGTCTGTCTGTCTGTCTGTCTGTCTGTTCTGTTGTTGTCGTGTCTATCTTGGTCTTGTCAAATTTATCTATCGGTATTTATATATTATCTCAACGCGCCGCCGTTTGTGCATGGCTGTATAGCGTAGTTGAATTATTTGATGATCTCGTGAGATCATTGGCACGATAAACCCACACCCTCTTCCACACGCAACGTTTGGTATAACCGCACCCAAATCCTGACACGTCCTGTCCCCCATTATTCAATGCCAAAAAAATTGATATATAGTTGAATCTTTCAGTGTTATTCCCCAACATTTTCTCAGTAAATCATTTCTAAAAATATTCTGTATATTTGTAATATAATTTTATTCTATCAGACCAATTATATAAGGACTATACCAACTGACTCTTAGACTATACATTGCGTACATGATAAAACTCCGGAGATAATGTAACAAAGTATACTTCCTGGGATACACATATCGCATTGATATAGAAAGTCAATTGTTGACAAACAAATGCAGCAAACGCTCATTCTCTCGAAACTACATGTCGATTTATGATCAGAAATACAACTTACTTATTATCATTTTAGACTTTGGAGAATCTCATTAATGAGTACAAGGAATGTTACAAAAAAGGTACAGTCTAGCTCTCGGAATAAATTTAGATATCGATCACAGTAATTAATCAATCAGATTAGTTTAACCGTTTTTCTACATTGCTATGACATATTCATCCAAATTTTTGTCTTCATATATATATATATATCAACATCTGCTCCTGATCTGATATATATGCCATGCCGCGCATTACCATGCATTACATAATGATAACTAAAAATGATATATACATTCGATATTACATTCTGCTGAGAATCACACGTACTGCTTGTTGCAGAATTTCATGACCTGCTCAAAGTCAAGATAGGATGCTTCGTCTCACACGATCCTTGCTATTACGGTCAAATAAGGTGGCAGGTAACGATATATGGGCAGCCTTAATTTGCGAAAAGTTGTACCACAATGTCATATAATGTGCCATCATAACCAGTATCAGAGAGTGTGACGCCGTAGAATTACAGCTATACACCCTATATATATATATATATATTATATATATACCGTAATATATATATATATATCACGATCATATCGTAAAGAGGTAAGTGGAGTCACAGTTGTATTGTAATGGGCCGCGATGTATGTTGGTTAGATCAGCCTATAGGCCAGAATATATTGGTCAGTCGAGCACAATTCAACGAACATGTAACTTCTGCATTTTTCGTGTACGGCTGCTTCGCTATATCCGCGAGTGGGTGTGTGAGTGCGTAGGTGCAAATGAGTGTCTGTCTATGTAAGGATTCGTTGAATCTCTTAAAATGTTTTACAAAAAATTTGGCGTCGACGAAGTTTTGTTGCAGTCACCCGCACTCGGTTTGTTTTGCTATCACGGCGTCTCTAGGAAGAATAAATGTTCGAATTTACGGAAATGCGCCTTAATTATTTTACTTGTATAATTAAAATATGCGTGTGTGTTTGGTTGCCGTGCAGTTTGCCATGGTAAATGTGCTCAACGTTAGTAAAGAGGATCTCAGAAAAGAATTGCTGCTGATTTCAAGAGCGCTACGCTCCACGTCTACGCAGGACACATGGACGTCACCTTCACAGCGCAAGCTGGCCACGTTGAATGTTACCAGCAGACGATCGAAAGGCGCCCATTCAAACGTCAAATCTAATATTAGTTTGCGTAAAAACAAGTCTTCCAAGTGCACAGTAAAATATATAACGCCGGAATTACGGAAGGTTCATGCCGTGTAATTGGTTTAGTGGTGGTAGTCATAATTACATTGGCACAGCGAAGATCGATATCCTAGCCTAGACTATTATGTTTATGCATTACCAGAATGTTGTGTATATCATGACAAATGACTTTATTTGTTGCCCACTGTGAAGTGTATTAACACTGGTTTTAAATACGCCATAGGAAATTCGGAGGTCATATCTTCAGGGAATAATAATTTATACTACAATTAATATTATATGAACTCCTATTATAAACGGAGTCATTCTTATCTGTTTAAAAAATATTTTTGATTCGTTTCTTCTACAGTAATCAACATACAGTTAACACTTTTCTGAGTATAGAATGTTGATCTTTCCACCCTTCTATGTCACGTTTGCATATTCCTAGTTCCTACACCATGACTGGAGGTATTTAGTATTTAATCGGTAGTTATTTCATCATGCATGCAGCACGTCGAAATTATTTTGCTATTAGAAATTGGCATTTAGTCAGGGAAAAGGCACCATAATCTTCCTGTTCATAACTAAACAAGTTTAAATAGTGAATAAACGAAATTTATTAAAAACATTGTCCTTTAATACGTAGTATCAGTCCTGGTAGTATCTACAGTAGGGTATAACCGAGTTTTCTCTGCATCAACAAGATTAAAATGAAGCCCAGTATTAATTCTCACATCAACTACACATCGGGTCATACATGCACTGGATATAAAATGGCTGAGGCTCCAAACAAAAGACGTGTGGCAATGTATGTGGAAACTTTAGACTCGATTAACAAAACACAAACCAAAACCAAGACTTCATGACAGTGATATACCAGCTTAGGAACCGAGAACACAATTCACATTAAACTATATAGCTTTCACTTATTTGGCAAATCACCTTGGCAAATCTGCCATCTTGATTCTGTCCCCGACTAAATTCACACGTTATTAAATATAAAACAAATCACAGAAAGCACTGCGCAGAATAAAGCCGTAGAGAAAACGATTTCACTTCACAAATGCGCTTCCATTCAATTCGCTAATTCGTTAAAGGGACAGGAATTACTATTTTAATTTCTCTCTGCCACTCTTAGTTTAGGCCAGTATCCTGCCAGCCGATAATCACCGACTGGCCTGCTTGTAACATTTCAATCGTCGTCTTACAACATGTTGCTATGTTACACAGGGCGCAAGCATATCGTCGGTGCATCAAGCAAATAAATTGTCTGCAAACACGTAGTCCATCAATGATCGACGTCCTTTCCACGTATGCCAATATCGACTGAAGCGAGGCAGCTGGTATATACACGCCATCACAACAACAAATATACCAACTCCCATCCCTTTAACTCAACCTAAATCATCATCCTCATCCTCTTCGTCCGCCAGCAGGAACTTTGCACCAACCCAGAGGTGGTCTGACGACATCGATTTGTTCGGCAGGCATCCCAGCTCGCGAATCTCCATCGCTGTCAACAGCCGCATGCGCCCGACCAGCCGCAGCGCACCCTCGCGCACGTCGCACACGCGGAAGCGGCCAAACCTGTCAAAGAACGTGCGCTTCCCGCGCACGCCGTAGAAGGCAAAGTCGACGCACATGTGCTGGTCGTCATGCGACGTGCTCACCTCGGGCTCGTTGTTCGGGAACAGGTGCCGGTAGACAGACACGAGCTCCAGCGCGTGCGACACGTGCCCCGTCTCATACGTGACGACGCGCGCCGCTGCCGCCGGCGGCGGCGGCATGAGGGCTGCTGCGCCCGGCCCGCAGGGAGGCGCCGACGACTCCTTCGTCGGACTCCGCGATTTCGCGGACGCGGGCGAAGTCTCCGGGTCGGATGCTGAGGGATCAGAGTCCGGGGGTTCTGCCGCCGAGAAGTACATTTCGGAGGAGGTGAGCGAGGCGAGGGAGCCGGCGGCGGTCATGTACGCCGACGATGCACCGAGCGTCGACCCAGAGGTGGCGCTGAGATAGGCGTCCGAGTCGCTCGACCGACTCAGGTCGCACGACGCCGACACGGACGACGTGTCGCTGTCCTTCAGTGTGGCGTCGCTGTCGTACGAGTCCGAGTCCGCCGCCGCCGCCGCCGCTCTGCTGTCGCGCCCCCAGGGTGCGCTGGCATCTTTCACTGCCCTCCTGTCCCTGGTTTCCGTGGGAACACTGCCATCTCTCGTCGCCGTGGGGGCGCGGGTATCTCTCGTCGCCGTGGGGGCGCTGGCGTCTCTCGTCGCCGTGGGGGCGCTGGCGTCTCTCGCCGGCAGAGACGCGACGTACTGGCACTGCTCGGAGATGCCGACCGTCTCCGGCAGCAGCTGTGTGCGCATCACACTGCTCGTGCGCTTGTGCGTCTGCCCGGACATCTGACTCGAGTGCAGGCCGCCGTAGCGCAGCCGCCCGCCGCACAGGAACCGGTACAGGTCGCAGAACGGCTGCATGTTGAAGTCGCCGCACAGAACGACCGCGCAGCGGCGCCCCCTGGCGGCGGCCGCAAGCCGGTCGACCTCGGCGAGCAGCACGCTGAGCTGCGCGAGCTTCACGTCGCCGCGTCGCGGATTGTACAGCAGGTGCGTGTTGGCGACGCAGAGCCGCCTGGTGGCGACGCTCGCGGCGCGCGGCCGCAGCACGACGACGAGCGCCACGTTGTCGCGGTCGAGGAGGGTGGCGCCAACGCGCAGGTACTCGACATCGCGGCGCGCCTCCAGCTGGAAGACGTCCGTGCGGTAGAAGGTCGCGCAGCCGTCGCACTTGTCGCCCGTGCGCTGCTTGTACGCGCCACTGTAGCCTGCACGCAGTCACACAGAGAGAGAGACTTCATATAACTTATAATATATCACAAAGAAAGGGACTTCATATGTTATATATCAGAGCGAGAGGGGGACTTAATATGTGATATATCAGAGAGAGAGAGAGAAAGGGACTTCATATGTTATAATATATCACACAGAGAGGGACTTCATATGTCATATATCAGAGAGAGAGAGGGACTTCATATGTCATATATCAGAGAGATGGGAGACTTAATAGAGTGGAACCCCGATTTTACGCACCCCCTATTTAACGCGAATTCCGATATAACACGATGAGTCGTTGTACCCCCCTTTTTTGCTCTTATATAGCCACGTATATATAACCGCGATTTAGTGCGCCCCGCTTTTTTCGCGATGACATTTTATGGACCCCAACCATCGCGTTATAACAGGGCTACACTGTTAATATCTGTTATATATATGTTATATATCACACAAAGTGGGGCTTCACTCACCAAGTTTCTCCAACATCGGCATCCAAAAGCTGACATAGTGGTCGCTCTGGACTTCTTGCATGCAGAGAATCTGAAAACATAACAATACGACTTGCATAAACCCGAAAACTTGAAATTTATCAGTTGAAATTGCATTGCCGCCTAACAAACCTATGAGGCTACATTCAGCGAGTGGACGCGCTTACATCGGGCTGTACGGTGCGTATCTCTGCAGCTAGATTTGCTCTCCTGTAATCCCACTGTAGGAAGTCCGTGTGACAGTGTCTGTACAGCTCTAGGTGGTCCTCCAGTAGCCGTTGGGCCAGCACGTTGTACGACATGATCATAAACTCCATGCCGGGCTGCCGACGGTGCAGGTGCTTGTGACCGAAGGCCGTGTAGTCCCACTTCCTCATATACACTGGTGAGAATGCACAGTGATCGATGAGAACATTTAATGAAAGTGTCAATGACACTGTAGCTCACCTTGGGTGTGATAGAAGAGGGAGGGGGGCAGGGTTCTCCAAGCTTTTTAATTATAGCATGGCGGGTGCTGCCTTTACGGTCCTAGTTGCAAATCGCCGAAGACGGTTTGCGT